TCCTGCGTTTTGGGCCACCGGATGGAAATCCCCTGCAGCAACAGCAGCCGGGTCAACCTCCGGTCAATCAGCAGACGCAACAGTCGCCTCCAAGGCCGTCGAGTCATGTCCAGGATGCGCAGCAGACGCCATCGGCCTACGCTCAGCAGGCAGGGCTAAAGACCTCGCCAGGATTCGGATCGGTAAACGTGAGTGCCGCTGGCAGTAAACAGAAGAAGAACCGCAAGTCCCCAGGACCAGGTGACTTCGAGGGCCGTGTTTCCCGCGAGGATGTACAGAGTCCGGCCTACAGTGATATCTCCGATGACTCCACGCCAGTGGCCGAGCAGGAGCTGCTGGACAAGTCAGTCGGTCAGGTGGCGGCAGCCAAGCACATCGAGTTGATGGGCAAGAAACCGCAGGATGTGGGAGTTCCACCAGCCCCTGCTCCCAACATGTATGTGCCGGGAATGTACCAGTTCTATCCGGCTCAGCAGCAGGCACCACCTCCGCCACAGCAGCAGCAACAACAGCCGCAGTACATGGTGCAGACGGAGCCAGGAAAACCACCAGGATTGCCACCGGCGTTGACCCAAGCTCAACAGCAACAGATGCAGCCGGGTGCACCTCCGCCTACCTCACAGCCCCCGAGTCATTTGCTGGGTCCACCAGGACAGCAGTCGGTGGCCGCCCACCTGGCGGACTATAGTGGCAAGAACAAGGATCCGCCGTTGGATCTGATGACAAAACCGCAGCCACAGACAGGTCAGCAGCCGCCGCAACAGCAGCAGCAGGGCCAGCAGCAGGGACCGGAAAACAATGGCAAGGAAATCATCGGACCGCCAACCTCGCAGCCGGGATCGCAGCCGCCCCCGGTGAACCTCAGTGCAGTGTCTGGTCCGCCACCAGGAGGTCTGCCACCAGGTCTGGGTGGCCTCTCAGCGCTGGGAGCAGCCGGTCTAGGAGGTCCTGGACCAGGCAAGGGTATGCCCCACTTCTATCCCTTCAAGTAAGTTAACTTACTGTTCTGGCTCATCATTCTCTGCATCACAAACTAATCATCCGTTTTACTTTAAGCTTTATTCCGCCTGCGTATCCGTACAACGTGGATCCCAACTTTGGATCAGTCTCTATTGTGGCTTCTGAGGAGGCCGCCAAACTAGGCGGACATCCTGGTCTGCCGCCCAGTTCGCAAGCGCAACAGCTGTCGGGTATCAGTATCAAGGAGGAGCGTCTCAAGGAGAGTCCCAGTCCGCACGACCAGCCCAAGCACATGCCACCACAGCAACAGGTTAGACTCTATTTTATTTTTTGCCTTTTTGGCGAAGCTAATGCATAATAATTTTCGCAGATGCTTGCCAACAAGCTGATCAAGCAGGAGCCAATGACTAAGCAGGAGATCAAGCAGGAACCCAGCTCAAACCAAGGGCAGCAGCATCCGCCACCACAACAGCAGCCTGCGCCGCAGCCTCAACAGCAGCAGCCACCACCCCCGCAGCCACAGCAGCCGCATGCCCTGCATCCAAAGGATCTGCAGGCACTGGGCGCCTATCCCGCCATCTATCAGCGCCACTCCATGAGCCTGGCAGCAGTGCAGCAGGCGCGCGACGAGGAGTTGAGACGGTAATTGATAATATAAGAATAATAATAATTTAGAACCTAGTAATTTCGAATTTCTATTTTCAAAAGATTATAGAAAAACATATCCTCAGAATTCAAAGCCTTTAAGAAATGATGACTAACACGATTATCTTTTCCCAATTAGGTACTACATGTTCACGGGGCGACAAAATCAGGCAGCCGCTGCTGCTGCCGCGGCAGCTCAGAACGCCGCCAGTGGTGGGCTTCAACCTCATCCTGGCATGATGCACAAGGATGAGCCCGGCATGAGCTCGGCACAGCAACAACAGCAGCAACAGCAACAACAACAGCAAATGCAAATGGCTCAGCAGCAACAGCAGGCGATTCAGCAGCATCATCAACACCTGCAGCAGCAACACCAACAGCAGCAACAGCAACAACATCAACAGCAGCAGCAGCAACAACAGCAGCAGCAACAGCAGCAACAACAACAGCAGCAGCAAAAGCTAAAGCAGTCGCAGGCGGCAAGTGCGGCGGCCAACAACAAGGCCACCAATCTGACGAAAGATTCGCCCAAACAAAAGGGCGGTGATGACGACCAGCCGCTGAAGGTGAAGCAAGAGGGCCAGAAGCCAACCATGGAGACGCAGGGTCCTCCACCACCACCCACGTCGCAGTACTTCCTCCATCCCTCGTACATTTCCCCGACGCCATTTGGGTTCGATCCCAATCATCCGATGTACCGCAACGTGTTGATGTCAGCCGCCGGACCGTACAATACGGCACCGTATCACCTGCCCATCCCGCGTTACCATGCCCCCGAAGATCTCTCGCGCAACACCGGTACCAAGGCCCTAGATGCACTGCACCATGCGGCCAGCCAGTACTACACCACCCACAAGATCCATGAGCTCAGCGAACGGGCCCTCAAGTCGCCCACCAGCGGCAGCGGCCCCGTCAAGGTGAGCGTCAGCAGTCCCAGCATCGGGCCGCCCCAACAGGGCGGACCCACGAGCAGCGGCCCCGGATCCGGAAATGTTTCCGGAGTCCTCGGCCCCGGCAGCGGTCCCAACCAGCAGCCCGGCTCGGCACCTGGGTCTGCGGGCGGTGTGCCGCTGAACCTACAGCCACCACCCGGAGGAATGGGCCCGGCGCCCGGCAACAAGCCGGATCTCTCCGGACCCAAAGGACATGGCGGTGTTCCGCCCGGTTCGTCGTTGGACGGCCACAAACAGTCGATGCCCGGCGGTCCGCCGCCGAATGGGCCACCAGGCAATGGAGCCGTGGGCGGAGTGGGAGGCGCTGCGGGCAATGGCGCGGCGGGAGGAGGTGGTGCAGGTGCCGCCGATTCGCGCAGTCCACCGCCACAGCGTCATGTTCACACCCACCACCACACGCACGTCGGCCTCGGCTATCCCATGTACCCGGCGCCCTACGGAGGTGAGTAGCAAATGAGGATTTAATACGGAGAGTGATACTAAGCCGGTTTTATCCTATTTCCCTAATAGCGGCTGTATTGGCTAGCCAGCAGGCGGCTGCTGTAGCTGTGATAAACCCGTTTCCGCCGGGTCCGTCGAAATGAGATCCACTGAACGGCAGCAACGAGAAGAAGGCGTATAACGTGAAGAACAATTAGTGCGGAGCGGAATGCGATGGTGCCCGCCCAGAGTGCATTTGCTAATTTCCGAGATCCCCAGGGACAGAGTGGCAGCAGTGGGTGAAGGAGATGGCTTTGTTCCCCGTTGGATTCCAACCTCTTCCCGTCGAAACCTGTCGCAGTCTTGGCTGCCTCTAAGAGTCCCTTCGGTGCTGATGCATCGGTGATCGAGGAACCGAGAGGAACGCAGAAACGACTATTTATATGCATAAGTATTTTTTGATGTTTCGTTCAACGTGGTTAACTATAACTAGCCTAAGGTATCACTACTATTACCGCATACAACCTATACATATATAAATATATATAGCATAACTACATATAACGACTTTTCCCTAAGTGTATTTGCATCTGCATATAGATATCTATATTTATATTTATATCATACGAGAGAGGCGTAAACCGAACATGAACAAACAAAAAACAAGCAGATAACATGAATTATACAAAAACAAAACAAACCAGATACTGTAGGGTGTTGATTTCTTTGTAAAAATAAACATTAAACGAAAGAGAAACGAAATTAAAAAAATACAAATGTATGGATATTGTTTAACTAATTGATTCTAAATGATTAAATTATGCAAGTAGGACGTACAAGTTTAGCATTTAGCGTGTGTATTAATTATCCTTATCTGTGTTGCGGATGGAGCTGCGCGAGATTTGCATCTAAAAGACAAATTGGGCGCGCCGCCCATTCAATTCTTATAAATATATATATATATTTATATATATATTATGTGTATCTAAATCTATATCTTTGTGTGTACTACTCGTATCCGTAGTTTCTATGTTATAAGTTCTCCGTGAATGACTACGATGAATTTTTCGGCCAGCAGCCGCACACTAATTTAAATTGTTTCTAAGCATCAATTTGTACTTTAAATATTTATACGCATATGCATATATGATATGATAATTGAAGGCGAGATATATGTGTAATTAAATGATTATCTATGTGAATGTGGGTGTGTAGTAGTTCACTAGCCGCTTCATAGACTCTACACGCGTGATTTATGGCACTTAATGTTCTTTAGCCTAAGCCCCTCAAAAAAACACCTTTCCCATAATGTCCCATACTCCAAAACACATCAATTCTTCTTTAGAATTTATAAATAAAACAAGTATTGATTGTAAATATACCTTAAAGCGAGTCTTTTGTATTGTAAATTAGTTCCACTGATTGATTTGGTGGCCCTGCTTACTGCATTGCCACCAAGTTCGTGTTATAAACATTAATGCATCATATTGTAATGTACTATATGTGTTTGCACCAGTTGCGGCAACCCATAAACGAAACGAAAGCGAATTACCGCATAATAGCAATTTGAATTATGTCTTCATGTGTAGATCAGCGAGTGTTTTCCTTACACCCATTTAGAGTCGCTAGGTTTTTTGACATTCTCAATGCAATTTGTAATCAAATCATAGAAAGCATTCGATTCACGGATACAAACACACAACATAACAATTAAATGGGGTTTAACAAATTACCATAATGGCTTATGTAATGGTACAAGCAGAGTTTTATACAAAATATGTATTTTAGAGATGGTAAAGCGCATTGAATTGAATTCGAAACAATGAAATTGTATCTAAGCAAAGAATGTAATCCACAAAACGGCTAACTAAAGCTAAATCAAGCATACAAATATGGACGAATATGAACAAAACACATAACTAGCGGCTAAGAAATTTCAACAAAATATAGTACACATATTTAAAGTATACAGAAAATTATAAAAAACAAAAACAGCTTTAGATGTGAATAAAAAATATGTAATTAAATCAATGGGCTGTTTTAATGGGGATTCTGTCTTTTAGTTATAATGGAATTCTTGGGCAATCAATAATAAATGTTTTTATGATTGGGATTAAGTATTTTTTTAATATCATAAGTTAGTTATTGCTAGGGTCCTTGGTTATGCACTTCCCAGGGGTATGATGAAGCTCATATAGTCTGCTGTGGCGCCCCAAGATGTGCGATTCGTCTGGAATATCACTATCCAGGCAGTGAGAACTATTAGCCAGAAGAAAGTTCCCACCGCGGAGAATATTACAACTGTAAAAGGTTGGTAAAAAAAAACAATATTATAAAGTTATAAATGGATCCAATGGGTAAGCTTACATTTCTTTATCTGGCTCTGTTCTGGATATGGGGGCTTATTGAAGGCCTCCTGGAAAAACCAGCAAACGTTGATGGCCCACACAAAGGGAAGGAAGGCAAAACCAGCTAAAATAAAGGAAATGATTTAACGTTATCCGTTTATACACTCATACAAGCAATTTGTAATTACCAAAGAAATATTTGCGACAAAGATCCAGTTTTCGTGGATTTGGTGCCTTAGAGATATCCATGATTAATCTTTTCTAAAGTGTGGGCGTTCCTTTGTTTTCTAGTTTCTACCTATTTCAGGGAATGTTGTGTATTTTAACCAAGTAGCTTAAAAAGCTGCTGGTGTTAGAACAATCTTTGGTTATTTTTTTTTAATTTATTTAATATGATTTCAGTTTTGTTGGTTTTTGTTGTATATTTCAGTAAATAGCCGAAATCGATAGGCTCAGCTTCGTAAGTTATCGAAGTAGGGATGAGCTAAACTGTGACTTATGGATAACTGTGTGTCTTACCGATGGTTAAAATATATTATACAATTAAAAAACAAATAGTGTCTGTTTTACCGATGTTTAAAATATAAATTAGTTTGTGAAGCAACTTTTGTTATTGTGAAAAAAATGGAAAAAAAGGAATTTCGTGTTTTGATAAAATACTGTTTTCTGAAGGGAAAAAATACAGTGGAAGCGAAAACTTGGCTTGATAATGAGTTTCCGGAGTCTGCCCCAGGGAAATCAACTATAATTGATTGGTATGCAAAATTCAAGCGTGGTGAAATGAGCACGGAGGACGGTGAACGCAGTGGACGCCCGAAAGAGGTGGTTACCTTTGAAAACATCAAAAAAATCCACAAAATCTAAGGCCTATTTTGAGGCAAAACCTAAGGAGTACTACCTAAATGGTATCAAAAAATTGGAAGGTCGTTATAATCGTTGTATCGCTCTTGAAGGGAACTATGTTGAATAATAAAAACGAATTTTGACAAAAAAATGTGTTTTTCTTTGTTAGACAAATATTAACAAATAAATAAACAACAAATATTATTTAAATAAATAAGACACTTACAAAATTAAAAGTGTCAAGTGGTTACAAATAACTTAACAACTATTTTTGTATGAACTAACTTTTTTATCAGTAAAAGAAGCTTTAATTTAAGATATAAAATGCACTTAGGAATAAACTAAACACAAAGAGGTTTCTATTTTATTTTAACAATTTTCCGTCAATCAACATTATTGACTATTTCCAGGACAGTACAGTATTAACCTACATATCTTCAAAAATACGAACTGCCTTCTACGCTAAAAAAAACTATTATATTAACATATAAATAAATTATTTTATATACATTTCAGTTTGAAAAATGAACTATAAACTGTGACCTGCCATTCCCAGTTCAGTGTTGTAAATTCCCCGAAACTGGTCTATCGATAGTTATTCGCACCCGTCACTAATTTAGAACACACCGCGTAAAAGCGACGCCGATTTCAATTTCAACGATTTGCGAAAAATTTGCAAAAAAAAAAGAGGAAAACAATGGCCGACGTGGACGACTTTGACTCGCTGTCCAATGCAGAGCTGCGTGCCAAGATGCTGGCCCAGGGGCTGCCCAACATTCCGGTGACGGACAGCAGCCGCAAGGTGCTGGTGAAGCGGCTGCGCGCCTCCATTGGCGGCCAGGCGTCGCCGGCAGCCAGCCCAAAGAAGAGCAGCCGGCGAGAGACCCTGGCTCCTGGTCCCATTCCAGTTGCCTCTGCTCCGGCGGCTGCCTCCACTCCGGTGGACAAGCTGGACGGGAATAAAGTGGCACCGGCCACCAAGGCTCGTCGCACCATTGCCGCCACTGAGGCCAAGGAAGCTGAACGTCGTCGCCCCGAGGAGCCAGTGGTCGTCAGGAAGCCCACGGCTGTGGCTGCTCCACCCATTCAGACACGTCGCACTTCCACCTCGTCGACTGGGTTCGAAAGAAAGGTGGTGGAGCCGGTGAAGAAACCACAACCTATTGCCGAGGAACCGGCTTCAAACAAACGTGCTGATCGTGAAGAAAAATACCTAAAGGTCAACTCGCTGATTGTACTGGAATCGGACGAAGAGGAGGACGAGCAGCTGGCCCAGGCTGCCAATCTGGTGGAGCAGCAGCACGCTGCCAGGGAGAAGGCCACTTCCAAGCTTACAAGCAGCGGCACCACAACCTATGAGTACAAAAGCAAGGTTTCGTCTGTGGTGGAACCTCCTCGTCGGCCGGTCTATGAACCCACACCGGCTCCGGTGGAACCTCCTCGTCGTCCGGTCTATGAACCCACACCGGCTCCTGTGTTAGCCCCATCTGGACCATCTGCCAGGACGCAGACACAGACCAGTTCGGCCAGGTCCTACGACTACCTCAACAATCCAACCGGACGCTATAGCAGCTATGTCCGCACCGCCGCCCAGGGTTATGTTACTGCCGAAGCTCCGCCGGCTCCATCTTACACATCATCCAACTATCGGAGCACCTATGCCAACGAGCTGAGCGACGAAAACGAGGGAGAGGATGACCAGTACGAGAGCACCTTTGCCCAGAATCTGGCGCGCTTGCGGGCCGAGAGGATTGGAGATCGCAGCAGTCCGTATAGCAGGCGCACTTTGGCCAGTGGCTCTACGGCCAGCGGAAGTCTGGGCTACGAGCCGCGTGCCAGACGCTCCTTGCGTCCGGATGACAACAGCATTTCAGTGGCCTTTGGTCGCTGGTGGAACAGCCTGGAGCAGAAGTACCACATCAAGTCAAAGCTGTTCATACTGTTCGTTGTCGTCTTGTTAATCGGCATTTATAGCATATTTTTCTGACCAGCGAATTACTATTCTTTTTTGAATCTGTACCCTAGTTTGTATTCCATGTTGGATTTGTTTTGTAAACGAGCCCGCCGCTGCGGACTTTGTATAAATCTTGTTTCGATGTAATTTGAGCTTGAGATTGACTAGCATTTAAGCTGTGTGTTATCCGTGTTCCAATAAAGCCCACTTGCAGGGAATCGCCTCAGATGACCAGTTGTTGTTCCGATGTTTTTTCTCCGAAAGGTATTCGATGCACTCCAGTTGCGGCAGGTGTTTGCCCAGATCGGATCAAGAAACATCAGCAACGACGATCGGCTAATGATGGAAAAGTATCTGGAATGCGTGTACAACACTTGTCGGCATGACTGTGACCAAATGGAGGCGCAATGACAACAAGATACCCCTGCTCTCTAAACCGAACTATTCCTGCTGCGAGCTGGCAATCCTTGCCTTGCAATCAGAATTAATAAGAATTTTACAAGTCAGCGGTGAATGTGCGTTATTTTTAAATCCTACCCAGGTTGGGCTGTTTAATTTTATTAACTGGAAATCGCACTTACTCGTATTTCTTCATTTTCTTAAGGAAATTTCGCGCCATATTTAGCGGCAACAAGCGCGACCGGATCCGGGTCTGCCTTGCATGCCTGCAATAAGTTATGAAAATTGCAACTGCAGCAGCAGCAACAGTTGCTCAGGGGAAATGCCAGTGGTGCTGCGATGTTGCAGCCACGGCCGCCTGTCGCCGCCGATGATGAATTCCACAAATGCATGGAACAGCCAGGCGGCAGATTCCTTGAAAAACAAAGCCATGGCCCATACAATATATCGTGTGGCTAATAAATACGCCGCGCATTGCTAGTTGCTCTTAATGAAATTAACTTCCAGGAATTACCTACATGGCAGCAACGATGCAGACGACAACAACAGCCAAGACATTGACGACTCCAGAGAGCAACAAAGCAACTGCAACAGCAAAAGCAATACCCAGCCAAAGGCAACAATGGCTGCTTAGGCAAATGCAACCAGCCATCGTGCATGGAAATTAAATGGAAGCCTGCAAAAAGTTTCACGCACTCGACACGTTAATAGAGTCGTAGTCACCCAGAGCAACATCAGGTCCAGCAGCAACACCAGACCCCCACAGCAACATCAGACCCCGCAGCAACACTAGACCACGCAGCAACACCAGAGCCCATATGGAACACTAAAGCCCCGCAGCAACACCAGACCCCCGCAGCAACATCAGCGCCCAAGAGCAACACCCGCGACCAACAGCTTCCCATCTTCAGTTGCAGCTCAAGTGTGACATTCATGGAAAACACCAAGTGGAATATGATTTTATGGCCAAAACCGAAACTTTTGTCTACATCACGTTCCCGTCCAGAAGGAACCAAGGAGTGGGCTGAAAAAAAGAAAACAAAAACCGAGGTGGAGGTGGGGCTGTGCTGGGCCAATGACTTCCTCGTTGTGAGCCAATTAAAGACGCTGGTCGTTGTGGTCGCTGCTGAAATCATTTGTAATGCAACGTTTGGAATAATTCACGCGCAAATTGCTTGCGACTCGCGAAAAATATTGCAACATTCCACAGCAAATTTTACGATTATGCGTTTGCACCACAACAGGCACTGCTGCCGGTTGCTATTGCTATTGCTGCTGGCCAGCACCGCAGCAACAGCAACTGCAGCAGCAACACAAGCGCGGTCGAGCAGCAACACATTCGCTCGTAGGCGCTCACATCACATCAAATCAAATCAAATGTAAGCGCAGCCCGGCAACTGCCAACCGGCGAGGCATTTCGTTGTCGGCCAGTGCTCCAGATAGATAAATCAGTCGGCTAATTGTCCCAACCTGACCGGTCTCCAAACTCTGCGCCTGGGAGCGTGAACTCTGCTTGAAAGGATACGAGCAGTCGTCGAACATCGTTTCCCATCGGAATCCGAAGCTCAAGAATTTAAATTTCTAATCGAATTACGTTTTTCTCCACATAATTAATCGTAAAGGATGACATTTTTATGCAAAGACCCAAAGATCAAAGTTGAACATCGAAACATAGCATCTGTGGAGATTGGACATTTTAATTCCATAAATAATGACAGTTTGTCTCTAAACAGACAGTCAGTGTCTGCCCACTCTATACGGCCTAAAAGAAATCATTATTTTTTTATTTTCGTTAGCACGGTATCTGGGATTTTACTGGGGATATTGGAATTGGAAAATTAAAATATAATATTTTAAATAGGAATTTACTAGAAAAAGAATAGAGTTTGCATTTATTGCAAGGAAAAATTGTAGAGTATTAATCATTACAACTCTTTGAAAATATTAAATTTATCTAATTTGAATTAATTGTAATAGGCAGTTATGAAGATATGTAAGAAAATTTAAAATGCTATATTATTAAGTTTCATTAATTTAAATAATTCTCAAATATAAGCCCCTACAACATTAAACATTAAAGGAGTCTACAAACTCATGCTAGTAATATATACTGCATTTGTAATCAATTTGTTTGTGCAAAATTTAAAAAGTCAATGAATTTATATAGTTTTCCCAAAATACTGTCCAAGGATTAAGGATTCCAAGGACTGTTTTAGAGTTCATATATATGTATATTTATTCCTTAAGCTATAGTTATTAACCTTTAAATTCTAGGTGAGGGTAAATGTCTTGCTCTAAGCTTGGTATTTAAGATTTGAAACCATTTATAAGGTATCAAACATTTCGAATAATTGAAACATACAGTTCTGAGTGGCTCCATGTCTGGCCATCTCTTTCGCGCCGGCAGTGTCTTTTGGGCTGACTACTCGTTGTCAAGTTGTGGACCACAGCGACCAATCAGTGTCAGCTGGAAGTGTCTTTTTTAGTGGCCCAAAGTGATGAGCTAATCAACCTGACCTGACCAGTCCCACAGTTACAGTCGAGATCGGTGCGGTGTGCCTATGTTAATAACATTATTTATGTATCTTGTATTTCGGTTTATTTTCGTGTGTTTTGTGTATTGTTTTGTGTTTGATTTAACAGGAATTGGAATTAGAAATGAAGCGAAACAAAGCGGGCAACGAGCTGGTATTTCCTTCATTTTGTTTGTGTTTTAGGTGTCAATCGCATTAGACGGAAATCAGTTTTGTTTTTTATTGTACAAATTTATCGCATTGGGAGACTCATTTGGATTTGGGTTTCTATTTTCTGTACCAAAGTCTCTCCCTGCTGGTTGGCTTTTATGTAAAATTAAACATTTTAAATTGGCCACGAGATAATTTGTGGTATATGCGATATGAGGTGGGATGGCGTTGGTGTGTGCGTGTGTGGTCTCCATGATCTGAGCGGGCATCAAATAAATTATAAACCCATTTAAATTAAACTGAATAGCTGGCTGACTCGCGTTCGTTGTCTGAGTCTTTTGTTTGGGTTCGTTTTTTTTTTTGTTTTTTTTTTTTTCTCGGTCACAGCCGAAGGAACTACTGCCCCAGCTGCAGGCGCAGAACTGGTTGACCATAACAATAAAATCAGCAACACTCGCGACATTCCCCGCAGCCAAATATGGAATTTATAATTAATTTTTATGTCCATGGGATGCAATTAGGAAGGGAGCAGGCAGACGGGAGAGGGGGAAAGGAGAGGAGGGGCATCCACAGGGGACATATGGCCAGATGCAAATGAAATCAAGTCATGCCTATAATCGGATTTGTTGCTCCTCGTATATTAACTTGTCACAGTTTCTATGTGTTGCACATAAACACAATTTGTGCTTAATCCAGCCAAGAACCTGGGACTCCACTTCGAGTTTCCTGGGACTTTGCTGCTCTGTGTCGCTTTCAATTATGACATTTTGTTGCTGTTTTGTCACTTGTGCCACTGCCGATGACGTTGGCTCACATTTCGCTGACCACAAAACTGATGATTGCACCTCTTCACCCTCGTATTCGACTGCAATCAATCATCGCTCCACTCAAAAGTTCTGCGGTTGTGTGCGCTCCATGTGCGATTGCCCACTGAGCACCATTTAGCCCAACTATCCCCCAACACCTCCTATCTAGATGTTGCGACAGGCACCCACAATTCGGGGGCCAGCTGCGTTTTAGTCTTCTCGGGGGGCTTTTCGGGGTGGGGCCATGCCGCACGATCCCGATTCGGCGCAAATTAGGCGCGAAAATATGCAGCAAAGTGAGACAAACAAGCCGAGAGTTGCTAAAAGCCTTCGCGAAAACTGAAAACTAAACGAAATACAGCAACAACAAGAAGAAACAAAAAACTTGCCGCTGGTCACTTAGTGGTGTTAAAATTTGGTACAGCGATTGCATCTATGGCTATACAAATTGCCACAGCGACAGCACTCGAGAAACATGGCAGTAGCAGCAGCAGCAGCAGCAGCAGCAGCAGCAGCAACATGAGCAACAGCAACAGCAATAGCAACTGGGGCTAAAACTGCGGAGTCGTTTTGTCAACACGGAGCATGCTTAGCCGCGTTTTCCCAGGGGACACTTAACGCGGCTGCTTAACGTCTAAATCTGTCGTCAAGGCGCGCTCAAAAAGCTAAAATGTGTTTGCCGAAGAGACGCGAGATGCCAGCGGACTGGGGGCACCATCAACGTTGGACCATCCAACACCCAGCTCCAACAGCCAGATTCAGCTCCATCTCCAACTCCGTCTCCGTCTGCAGCAAGTGGCCAAGCGACGAGGCAGCAATTTGTATGCAACTTTATGTTTGCCCACTCGCACCCTGCCTCGAACCCAGCCGAACCCACGGAGGAGCGTCGAGTCGCCTCGCGGACCTGACGAGCTGCTCCTGCTGCCCTCGCCGGCCATTCGCGCCCCAAGGGTATTCACACTGAGGGAAAATACAAGGGGGTTGCAAATTCATAGTAAATAGCTTAGTAAGAAAAAAGTTTAGTGGGTAAGCAATTTGGTTTGTTTTCTTTTCAATTTAGTTAATTTGAATACACTTTGTGGCAACAGTAAAAAGAGTTTTATTTGTTTCTTATATAAATGAATGAATTTCAGTCACCATTTAAAAATCGAATTTTAATTATCGATTTAGGGTTTATAAACATTTTTGGGAAGATTAGAATTTTTAATTGTTATTTGGAAAATATTTGAAAGGTTCATATAAATTGTTTTTATATGGAAGTATTTATCCTGGAACATGGAGTCCAACTCAAGTGATTATTTACATCACCAACATATGATTTATTGTTGTCTTTATTAAA